AACACAGTGTGGAGCACCGTGTGTCCACACACACAGTGAACACACTGTGTCCAAATATGTGCTTTACTGTGTAGTGTGTACACAGAGTGTTTCACACTGTGTTCACTGTGTGACATTATCCTAAGGGTCTAACAGGGCGCCCGGCACCAAGGGGTTTACTAGAGCCTGAGTACCAGTCGAATGAAAATAATACTCAAAGAAATATCGTTGACAAAAAAATAAAAATAAAAACCAGTCAAATAATTATGGCCTATAATATTTGCTCTGTATGGAATTTTACTTGGGAATGGAAACCACGACCTCCAGATAAGTAGTCTGGTATCATAACCAATAGACCAACTAGCTTGTGGTTAGTTACAATTGTATAAGATTCCAAGTATAAGCAGCAGGTATTGCAATAGTATTTTGAATGATCCTCAGAAAATATTCATTGTATTCCTAACCCAACTATCATTCGAAAAAACAAATAATTTAAGTGTAAGTTTTATTGTATTAGTAGTATTAATATTCATTATTGTTAAAGATTAAACAGATCTGTGGCAGGTTTATTTTGGAAATCGTCCTATGTAATTTTATGTCTCGTTTCCGCGAAAATCGCAAACAGAAATATGGGCGCGCGACTCAAATAAACGGACTCTCTGTAAGTTAACAAGTAGGCATGTTATACCACAAGACGAAGAGGGTTAAATAAGAAAGTGTGTTCCTTACGGTACGCATACGTCTCCCTGAAAGTAAATGTATCTGTATAATTCACATCGTTGCTGAATTCACGAGTTGAAAATAAGCTTCCATTAACTGGTGGACTTGCACAAGAATTAATTTTCACTGCATCATGTGCATGTTTGTACTTTAAAATAGCAGTTCCACTTGCTGGACACATTTCGTGCGGACTTGTAGTTAGATATATACAGTAAGCTGACTTTAGTGTTGAAGATGCCTCTATAACCAAATCTATCCTGTGGTGAGACATAGAAGAAAGTAAGAGAATAAGCAGTGGACGTGGATCATCCAGGAATTCGAAATAGAGGGCAGGGGACACGGGCAGTGGTGGCTAAAATATGACAAGGGCATGTCCGACAGGGGTCCAAACCAAGAGGCCGACTCTAGGGAACTCTGCCTGGGTCCAGGAATACGAATCCATAGTAGGGTATACTGGGAGAGTTTTTTATGGTTTATCATGACCCAAATTGGGTTAAAATATATGATAATATTATATCGGTAAAGAATGTGTGCATGAGTAAACGATTTTGTCAAGTATTGTTCATAGTGTCCCCATGAAGAGGTTAGCTACGACAGGTCACAATGGAGAACCCATTTAGACTTCATCTATTTGGTCATAATATTCATTAACAAAAGAAAATGAGTTTAAGAAGTACAGAACATTAAAGGCTTTTTAGGTCTTCCCTAGAAAATTTACAATCAATATTATTTATCAGGATATAATCAATAGCTAATGAAATTGATTTGTTCAATGAAATTTCTTTTTGACCGACGTTGTGTTGATTGGCAATCAAAAAACTTTATTTGGATATGCAAATTGGCAAGTTATTATTCTTGATACGGCTACCTCGTCGAGGCGTCGGACGACGGGGGTGGGAGTCAGGCCTGTCCGACGGGGAATTCCCCTTCCCGCTGGCGCCACCATGGGCACAGAGAGGGAATTTTACAGATAAACTTGACGAAATATTCGTGTTATTATATGTTTGAAAGACGCGTCAATCTGACTATTGCTTGGTCATTTACCTTTACTACTATTATGATACGGAACAACGTACTCCATCATTTCGCAATGACACATCTTTATTATTATTTGTATATATTATATATAAAG